ACACACACACACACACACACGATCAACACTTTCATTCATGTATCTGTCACGTTTCTGTGAAGTCTTACCCCGGCGTAATCACAATGTGCATAGACAGCAGCACGTGTACTATAGATAGAGACTCATGTGTGAAGACGGCACATTGAGAGAGCGGTCGGGGCTATTATTAGAGCTCGACTCGCTTGTCGCAAACGGTAAGATAAAGTAGCAAAAGCGCGGGCGGTCGCAGTTCCTTTTCCAGTTTTCCGTGCTCCATTCCCGGGTAGGTGCATCTGATCGATCATACGACGTAGCGGCGTGGTCGCGTAACCCACTTTGCGAGAGTTGCGATTAATAATAAACTTTCCCTCAGATCGGCGGCGTGTGACAACGCGAGCACATTAAACTGTCGATCGCGTCGATTTTTTTTTTTTTTTTTTTTCACCTACTCTCCCTCTGATTCTCTCGTATACACGCGCGTTGAACGCGCAAAATCGCGTATTTCGCCCCGGGAGGAAAATCAAATTTATCACAATCGATTTCTCCGATCGCCAATTCGGCGAGTAAATTCGGTAGGGCGTGCGCGCACTTTAGTGTGTAACACCGCGAAAACTTATGGCCCTTATCTTCGTCGAAGTGTGACGTACGGCTGACCATATGTCGCACAACACTATGTAATGTAATTTTAACCGTATATATAATTCCAGAGTGTCATTTCGGTGAAAATGTTGCGCGCGCGCGCAACAAAGTCGGTGGGAAAACTCGCGCAAAACTAATATCGCCCCGTTCGCGCGGTTGAAAAATGTCATTTCATCTTTCAGCAGTACTCTTACACTTTATTATTGCTTATTTATGTATGCGACAGGTATTCACAGTCGTTTATTGCGGATGTAAAATTCAAATCCGCGAACGTTACACACATTTGTTGTGAGTTTTCCCTCCCCCCCCCTCCCCTCTCCAACCCTCATTGTGAAGCTCCTTTCACGCGTGAAAATATATACAACGCGCGGCATCTTTGCCTCGCGCACACGACCTTCGTCATAATTCGGCCTTCAAAATGCCAACATATTTTATAGGAAGGGGAAAATTTCAAATACTTTATGCACGTTTAAGCGCGCACAAATGCGCTTTTCGCGCAACAGAAATCGTTGTGTGTATTCGCATGAGAGCGCGACATATTGGTTCTGATTGAAACTCCCGACTCGGTTCAACTGCTTTGGGTCGCGCGCATGCCGGACAAGCGCGATGCAGATGAAAACGTGAATGCAACAAAATGAAGGGAGAATCTCGGATTGCTGCGGATTGGATGACAAAAATAACAGTGTCATTTTTAACATGTGCGACGGGTAAATACGCCCGCGAGATATGTGCGCGAGACGACACGAGTGTGCGCGCGCGGTGGAGTATTGCTCGCTAATGAAATTTTATTAAATATCTATCGTTTAAAACGCAATTTAATAAGCCAACGCCGATCGAAAAACCGTAATACCGATAAAGAAGAGGAAAAAACAAAAACGTTATCAATCCGACAATGTTCAGAATCGATTTTCTCGCAAAATATAGAGAAAAATTTTTCACATACATATATATATATATGTATATATATGAAATTTCATTTTACATTTTTTGACATGTCTTTTTTTCATGTAGAATCATCACACTGGTCCGCTTGCAGCAGCAGCAGCAGCAGCAGCAGTTGCACGGGACGTCATGTATATCGAATTTGAAATATCCTGAATGTTCTAAATTTGCTCTGCGCGCGATATATTTTTTCCCCTGATGGAAGATGGTACACGATAACGCAATTAAAGGAACAGCGCGCGGGTAAAACAATAAAGGATTTCGAGTGACGCGCGCGTTTGCGAGGAGAGACGGTATACGCGGGCACATATTTATAACCGGATACTCTCGAATAACCGGCGTCGCTTTATCTCTCTCTCTCTCTCTTTCTCTCTCTTTCTCTCTGCTCTTTACAAGCATAAAAATTCGGTCGGGCGATTTTGAGGGACCGGTGAAGCGACGATAAGCGCCGATTGCCAGGCTGTAATCAAGTCCAGATGGGTCGCACTGATTGACAATTTTCCGCGGTTCCCTGCTCTTAACCGATCCCTTTTCACCGCTCCTGTATTCCGAATATCTCGCTGTTAAAAAGCAGACTTCAAACTGACCACCGTGAGTGACGATCAAATATTTTCGTGCACCGTAAAAATAAAAAAATATAAAAAAAATAAAAATAAATAAATAAAAGAAAAATTAATTCCCGTTGATTTGAATGACGTTTAGATTGATGAGGAAAAAAAGTCTATCGCAAATGTACCTTTTGTGTAATCGGGAGGGAAGGAATCGACGAAGAAATGAACAATGACAGCCGCTAATTGATGAGTTGGTCTCGCAATATAGGAAGTATCGGTCATCTCATTCGTACGTTGGATTAAAGATGAAGTATCGGTGTGAATGATTACCAATTAGTGGACAAGCCGCTCGGTATCGGTAGATGGATCTGGCTAGGACGTGGTCTTTAATAGAGTCAAGAGAGACTCCGCGCGAGAAAGAGAGAGAGAGAGAGAGCAAGAGAGAGGGAGACTGAGAGGTGAGGAGAAAGATGGACTTCGTCATTGATAAATTGGAATATTTTCCAGTCGTCGCGGGCAACGAGATCGCGTTCGATCTTTGTGTTCCGACTGACTCAAGTGCAATCGGGATGAGAGCACGTCGTTGATTGTTCATTTAATACATTGACTTCCGCGAGGGAGGGAAGAAGAGGGTTGCGGAAACCAACACGTTCCTCGTTAATTAATTTCCGCATCACTTACGATAACTTTTCAACCAGACGCTTTCTGATATCTATATATATCGCGAGCTTGAGTAATATTTATCACGTTTTCTCGCGCACATTGTTCTACAAATTGACGACGACCTCGTTCTCTTTCGACCTCTCGAACTTTGCCATCTTGAGTCGTCGCGCGCGACGCGAACGCATTCCGCTGACAATGGCGAGCAACAATGGGCGGTCGGATTAAAATGCAAATTAGTCCATAAGTCAGGACATTATATAATTGTTAGCTGTGCCGGCTGGCGGTTATTGTCATGGCAATAAACTTTCAAGATTTAAGGTGTCAGCAAACGCGGTATCTAAAACGATATATATACGTTTGTACTTAAAAGATTACTCGCATATCTACGTAGATTTTGCATTATAAATAACGTTCGTATATACACGCAGTCTCTCTCTTTCTCACAATTATTTAAATTTATTTCCATTTCTAAGAGAGAGAAAATTTCACACACAATTGCAATCAAAAGTATATCGTTAACTAAAGTTACTGACTAAAGTTTTTGAGAAGACACGTTGACGTTACGCGTGACGGTTAATTTTACGCTGTGGTATTTATAAATAAATAATATATCGCGCGCTCTCCCTTCTTTTTTTTTTTCACGAATTTGCATAGCAAATTCAGACGCAGCTAAATATGAAATAACGATTTGGCCGTTATCTCTTGTGGAAATACACAACGAGAGCGGGGACTTTTTTATTTGCTGCGGTTCTTCTTTTTCATGCGCTAGATGAAAAGTGCTTAGAACCACCTGTCTCATTCGACTCTCGCGCGCGAATATTACCCCGCGCATTACTTTCCCGCGGGTAATTAACATAAAAGTGATAACGTAAGAGCGCTGTTGAAAGTAGCGACTGCAGCGACTCTTTTTTTTTTTTTTTTTTTTTTTGAAAAGAATCGTTTGTATGTAAAAAGATGCATTTGTAGAAATTCACCGAAAAGTTTCCGAATGACAGTCAAACCGTTTGTTATTACACAGACTCGAACATTACAGTGCGTGGCAAAAGTTCCGAAACGCGCGCGCGCGGTGCAGTATCTCGAAAACTAATGACTCTAAAAGAAAATAAAAACGTTAAATACAAAGTTTTTAAGAAATCAAATGTTCTATTATGTGATCATACTGGCTCGACCTTGAAATAATCTCGAATGACCTTTGTGAAGGGGTCAACTTTAAAATTTTTAATGAGACTTTCCATTTTTTATGATACATCCGGAAAGCTGACGCCGTTTTCAAAACACTAATTATGAACCTTTATTCATGAAATATTACGTAAGTTGTGGGTCTTCAAAGTTGCCGCGCGGAGGTGTGTGTGCGACACAGGCAGAGATCAGGACCCCACGATTCGTTAGTTTTCCGCGCGTATTTAATGGCTTCAAACCCTTTCCGCTATATCTATGCGGGCCTTTTAAATTATTTTCGTGTACATTACTAAACACGGTTCTAGTTGGTCGCTTACTTTTACCTTTTAGATGTTTAAACTGTTTTCCCTCAATAGCTTGGTTGATTTGAGGTAAGTACCGCAGAAGTGACAAACCTAAGGTCCTGATTTCTGCCTGTGTCACACACATACACACACACATACACACACACACACACGGTTGCGCGCGCGATAATAGAACATTTGTTAAAAACTTTGTATTTAACTTTTTCTTCTAAAGTCATTAGTTTTCGAGATAGTGCACCGCGCGTTCCGGAACTTTTGCCACACACTGTATATTTTATCAATATTAGCAACGCGCATTAATGCTGCTGAGAGCGTTTACATTCACGAAAAAATTGTATAAAATATATCCCGAAATGTAAGAAAAAAAACAAAACAAAACCACGTATAATTAATATAACACACACGCAATGTTTTTAATAACACTTGACGCCGAGGAAGTAATCGATAGGAATTTCTACTTGTGGATGTGTTTGCGTATTAAAATTGTTTTCTGACAGAGAGATCAAAGAGGTCACTATGCCAATATTCCAGATATATCGACAGTTAGAGTGCTCCCCACTCATACGATTCCCCGGTCGACTGTTACAGGCAAGAATCTCTCGCGTTATAAGAGAGATACATTGGTTCTTTCTTCAACGTGCTATTAATCGCATCGAAGTATAATCTGTGATGATGTAAAAGAGAAACATATCGAGTTTTTCTTCGGATAAAAACAAAAAAAAACTTACACGCTTATCTCTTTCCATTTGAAATACAAGTACAACGATCACAAGTAACGCACGCTGTAATTTCGTGAATCTTTTCACTGCTACAGCACTGCGTGGCAAACTGCGTTATCGCGCTTAAGCAACTTTAGCGAGCTTCAGTTTTCAACGTACTTCGCAACTTGACAGATATTCCGTTGCGGCGATTGTCACGTATCTAAATTGCTTGGACGTTCGACATGCGTTCGCTGTACGTCGTGATTGCATTACGTACGTATACAAAGCAGACACAATGTATTTTGTATGGGATATTCGCGTAAGAAAGGTAATTGACGTGTGTAAATCGTGTATAACGTAATTATACCGCATGCGCAGTGTCTATTTTTGGATTGCGCCTCGCGACAGACGTCGACGACAAGAACGCGTGTAATTGCGACGAGAGCTGCGACGAGGAACGAGTGATCGGTTTGGAAGAAGAGACGACCACTCACGTAATGTACAAGGAGGACGACGATGGCGACGGTAATCGGACAATTTGCGCCAGAAATCGCGATTTTAACGATCGCACGTTCCCGAGCGTCTGTCACATGTTCTGTTATAATCATTGCACGAGATATCGAATCCTGACGGTTGAGATGAATGACACGAAATACGTCGTAGCCGCGTACAGACCGAGTAAGCATTTGAGAAACGATTGTTACAATTATAGACCGTTCACATAAGTGTTATAATAATAGATACTACAATTTTTTACCGCAGATTATTACAAATTGAAAGACGGAGAATGCTGAGAGAAGATTATGTGCTTCCTGAGAGAATTATATAAGTAGAAACAATTGACACACACGTATACATGTACATAAATAATATATACGTAATAAAGTCTTGAAAATAAAATAATATCGGTGAATTCCAGTTGTGTATATGTTAGAAAATAATTCATTAATTTAAAAATCGCAACATATACATATATATATATATATATATATATATATATATATATATGAAATACTAATAATTGATAATCTTAAAAATACATACATATTTCATTATTTCGATCGTGGCTTTCGCTATTTCTTTGGTTCTGTCGTTGGGTCTGCCGCGCGAATTATGTTAAGCGACCCGAATGAAAAGCAGTTCGGAATCTCCATTTGCAGTTCCGACTTCCTTTTTACCGTATCTCGCCGGGAACTGGCATTCGAGAAGTCACGATGCGTAAAAGATCAGACGTAGCGAAGCGCAAATAATACTCACCAATTAAGCGACGCGAGAGAAAGCTACGTGAGTGCGCGAAGGAGAAAAGGAGAGAAATACGTTTCTCCGTATGCGTCGGACGCTCGAAATGTGCGGGAAGTTAACAGTTCAGTTCCGAGATGGTTTCGACAGTGGCTGATGCAACGCGAAGGAGCGGGTCGGGACGCCGGAGGTTGGCTCGCGGGACGAAGGAAAGGAATTAACCAGACGCGCGGAGTCCTCTCGCAAATTGAGTTGCACGGAACCGGAATTTAAACATTCAAATTAACCTATTTAGCAAGTCAAAGAAGCTAATGTGCGCACGCCGGTTCCGCGTGCCCTGCAGATTCTAATATTCAATCGATATTGTCTTGTCTCTTGCCCATTGACTGTATTTTTTCTCTGCCTTTTATCAGCACGGCTGTTCGATTCGCGCGATCGGAAATTGCTTCGGAAGATATTACATCGGGGTGAGGAGTTATATAATTAGAGCTCTCTTTTTTCCTTCTTTCTCTTTCTATCTTTTTAATTTTATTAAAATAATTCGATATATCCACGCGCAAAAAATTGAATAAGAAGCGCCGCGAGTATTTATTAGATACGATTGCGAACTGCTTTGTAATCGGCGGATTCTCGTGTTACGATGACGTTTTCAAACGTTCCAATTAATTCTTCCCTCGGAGCGAGCATTGTTACGCGCGAGATAAATCCGAAAGATTGCCCACTGAACGCACTGCAGTGCGGCAACGCGCGTAAACAAAAGGATGTTGCACACGACGTACGGCGCGTGTTGCACTCGCATGACATGTACAACGGAGAGGGGAACAAAAAAAAAAAAAAAAGATCGTTCGGTTCCTCCCGGCGGAAATCGATTCTCGACCGAGCTCTCTCTCTCTCTCTCTCGGCGTTCCGATTATTTTCTCTCTACGTAGGGGATTCTCCCCCGCGCTCATCCTCGTTACAGTAACGCCGACAAACTCTCTGAGTGCAATTATAACTTTATACAAATAAACTTTAGGGAACGGAATGTTTTATCCTGCTAATAACATCATTTCCTCGCAAACGACCGTCGGGGCGTATTGCTCCCCCTCGCTCGATCCTCTTTTGTGTTCTTCTTCTTAGACAGTCGGCTTCGCGAGTTCTGGACATTCTGGTAAAGTTTAATAGCATTGCATTTAGCCACGTGTTATCGAGCGGTCGGCTTACGGTCTCTCGTAGTTTCGTTCGTCATCGTTAGCGCGGATCGATCGTGTCGGACGCGTTTTCCGTTTTTCAAAAAAGAATTTGGTCAGCCAGCGTGAAATTAGCCATTACAATACCGCGCGTGCACAGTTGATGGATGGCAAATCGTTACAATCTGTATCGAGGAGGTTAAAACAGGACAAATGTTTAACGTCATGTATCATATACATAAAATTACATTATGCGAATGCATAAAATTATAATACAATATAAATTTTTTCAATTATAACGCACCTGCAAATCTCGCGTTTGCCGGTGTATCAATTAACAGTTGTTTGTACTCCGCGAATATGTATAATGCGAATTTGTTTTTTGGCAATTGCCATTTTCCGTCGCGCGTTTTGCATGAGAACGAGACTTTCCGGTTTTGCTCCGCGAAAGACGTCTCAAAGTTCCCCTTTCCGTCTCGCCGAATTAAACAGCTCAGTAAACCGAATCGGCTGAGCGTTTAAAGATCGACATGAAGTCAAGATGGGTTCGATACGTGCTTTCGTGTCGCGTACGTATATATATATATATATATATATATATATATATATATATATATATATATATACATATATACATATATATATATATATATATATATTCATGCGCGACTACGCGCATATACTTGCTTGGTCCTCAAAGAGAGGATGTGATCGTTTCATAGAGAGCCAATAAAAGTAGGTACGACGAAATCCAATAAAATCCCTACTCCCGAATCACACGGATACTTGCTTCACCTGATTTCTAGTAGCAGCTACAAATTTCCATAGGACGTTCGTCGCCTTTGACGAATATAGAGAGGAACGTCATGCGAATTTCACCGGGAAAACGTGTCTTTTTGTGTGTGTGTATCGCGCGTGTGCACGCATATGTCTGCATTCAACTTTTATCCAAACTGCGCATGCACTGTTTATTTATATTGTACACACACACACACACACACACACACATATTTATATATAGCGATGCTTGCAAAATAGTTTTTACATTTTTTTTGCGTCGTGTTTCTCGACGCTAGTCGTCATTACGTACATACACGAGGTGTACTCGCGTCTCTGCTACTAAAAAATGACAGTCGCGCTCAGTCAGGAGCAAAAGTCCTACCTGGTTCGACCGAGAGAGAAACTGTAACGTGTGTTTCTCGCGCGCAAGCCAAGCTACATACATACGTGACAGCGAATTTTACATACGCGAACGCAATTTCTCGTCGTCGTATTGTTTGGAAGGATTCGAGGGAACGCGGCCAGCGAACGCTCCGCTTGGTTGGCTTCACTTATTCTTACTTACTGCGCTCGCACGTCGCATTTCCACGTCTCCCCCTTGAAGGGGGCGACCGAACATTTGTCTGGCTTGCTCCGCGACTAACTATGCCGCCACGAGCGAAATCTGCCGCGGCGAAATCGTTTCTAACTGATGTCGAATGATCATTCAACTCCCTCCACGCGGCTCTCGCGCGCGCGCCATTGTTCCGCCATTGTCGCGTTGATGCCGACCGACTTGGTTTCGTTTTCCCAAGATCAAGATTCTATTCGGAAAAAAACAAAAAAAAAACAAAAAACGTGTGTACTTGTTTTGTGTCGCGCTGTGACCTATCTATCTATCTTCGGAAATAACAAAATATCTTATTTAGATGCTTCAGACAACCGAATGTGTTTCATGCGATTTATTTAAAATTTCTCGCGCGGTTATAAATTTGATATTTTTCCTCGCGAAAAATTTAATTAAATACAAATAGAAACCAAATTTGCATAAGAATGGTAAAGTAAATCGTAAATTAAATTTCTGATGCAACGTATCGCTGTCTAGGAAAATATAACGGAGTCGCGTTGCAAAGTGAACCAAATATCGCGTGAAGACGATCGATCTCTTGATCGTTCGCGTAGGGTAGAATGTCGTAACTTTCAAATTTTGTACCGCTTTTATTACATCGTTATGCAATCAGGAGCAATAAAGACGCGCAACGATCTGCAGTCAAGAAATTCGTCAGATTGCCAATCGCTCCGGCCGGAGGCTTCGTCGGAGATCGCGCGCTCGCACGACGCTAATGTTTCTTTTCCATGAACCGAATAAACCTATGCTCGTAAAAGGCGACTGATTGACGTAGCTCGCTCGTAGGCACGAGAATTGCTCGTCCCGACGAGTTCGTACGAAGTTTCGCATGGAAGTATCATAATGGAAACTTCGGGATCGCGTGCGTCAAAACGACTTTGTGCTACGGCGTTTGTGCCGGCGACATGGTCACCGGCGTGTCTGCTCGCACGTTCCAGGGGACATTACCGTGAAATATTCGTGCGAAAGCGATTTTTTTAGATTTTTTTTTTTTTTTCACATGAACGTCGTTCGCTCGACAAATAAAAATAAATAGGAAAAAAACGAGTTTTTGTGAAAATTTACAGTCGCGCGAGTCTGTCGCCTCTTACAATCTGGAAAAAGAAAAAGTGTGAATATATATAATAATGACATTTAAATCTATTTCTCTCTGTCAAAAAATAAGTGTTTATTTTTTGTATATTTTCGCTGATTCATTCCAGTATATACATTTGCGAATTGCTTCGTGCAATTTTAAGCTGCCGAAAAAATATGTTTTCGGACTTTGTGCGATAATTTATATAATTGTACGATCGAGACAGGAGACGTTACTTAAATTAACAGCGCGCGTCTGCGCTGTATTATATTATTGATATATTTCAGAGTTTTTATACGAAAAAAGATTGATTTTTCATTTCAAGATAGACAGAATAAAAAAAGGTATAAAATATTTTTCTACATAAAGTATTTTCTATAATATATTTTCTAATAATATCTCTCGCTCTTTTTTTCGTAAAAAAAAAATTACAATCCACCACAAAAATTTTCTCGACGTATCGCGTCGTATTTATCGCGACGTTTATTACGTTTTATAGAATGAGATTCAAAGTCTTAATCTAGTTTAATCACAGAAATTTACGTCACTAAAGCTGCGATCAAAGAAACAAATCTCGTCGGCAAAACCTTCTAAAAGTTTAGTAGCTCGCTATATACGCTAGCTGACGTGAAAATATCGACAAGCAATAAAAAATTGTGCTCGTTGAAAGAACGTTGGAGCTGACACAATGATGAAGTTCTTCGATAATCTTTAATTGTCGCTGATAAAAGGCAATAACTAGAATGAGAGAATCTGTATTTTTTCTTTAGACATAACTTTCAATTTTATATAAAAATTGTTTGAACGCACAGCGATGTTTTCTTTCTCTTATATTTGCAAATTTGAAATAATTTTATACAAATGACATTGCGATTTACTTACGATTTATTTTGTGCAGCTTGAAATTCTTTTCGGCGTAAGTTGACTTGCGATTATCTTCCGTCTTCTCACTTTGTTTTTCCCGTCGAGTTTCCTCACGCAACCGTAAATAACACGCAAAGGTGACAGTCGTGTATCTGTCGTATATCACACG